CTTACTAACCTGCTTTGAAACTGTCTCAATAAAATTAAGAGAGAGGGGCCAGGGAGATGGCTCAGTGGAATAAGTGCTTCCCTGGCAGGCGCAGGGGCCTGAGTTCAATCCCTGGTTCTGCAAAAAAAATAAATAAAATAAAATTAAGAGAGAAAAAAAAAAAAAAAGAAAAGAAAGAAAGAAAGAAAAGCTCATGCCTGACGATGGAAGTTGCCCGTGATTTCTAACCATGTGTAAGCTTACTTCCTGTACTATCCAGTAGGTTAATGTCCTGTCTGCTCTTTTGATTTCCCACTGGAGAGAGAATTACTGACTAGACAAGGAAGCAAGGAGATCGACATCACTGTAAAGCCAGGAGGAAGAGCACCATGGATTTCTCATCCTAGCCCCTGCTGCCTCTTCTCCAAGCCCTCCCCCAGGCCTTAGGATTAGTTAACCCTCTTTGTCACAGCCACAGGCTGTGGCCCACGCTCTGCCTTTTCAAGAGGCAGTTAAGAGCATAAGGCCAGACTCCAAAACAGCCCAGAAGTATTGGTTGAGCATTTTCTCAACAAATCTGTCCCTGCTTTAATTTTAAATTCAAATTTGCAGCTGCTGAAAAATAATGATCAGGTAAGAACACTGTTAGTGAATGGGTGATTCACCCTGGGGAGGTGAAGTCATTACTCGGTTTTCATTTTGATTTCTAATAAAAGAAAGTAGAATCCTTCAGAGAACCACAGAGCTCTGACTCTCTCAGGGAGTCCAGGGGCTGTTGCAGGTCACTGAGCTTTATTTTTAATGATCCTTCTAGTTTTCTGCTGCCATTATAAGTCACCTGAAGAAATAAGAATCATGATTATATTTTCTTGGCTATTCCTGAAAGTACTGAGATGTCACTTAGGCTTGTGACATTCTGACACTGTCATAACCAGCCATAAAATACCATAAGTGTACTACATGTTACCATTGCTAAGCTATGACTCATTTGTCCCTAGATAGCCTGCTCCTACTTCTTATTCAAAAAGTAAAACAAAGACTGCTAGACAAGGCTAGTGAGCATAAAAATAACACATGCAGATGCTTAAACAAAAGAGAAAATGCTCCGAAAGTCCTCATTAATAGCATATACAATAGTCTTCTAGTGTATTTAAGATATTTTGAGTCATTTCAGTGAGAATAATATTACTGTCCTCTGCCATAAAAGGTGTACATTGTGGGCATTTGAAAGAATAGTATGTGACCACAGACTCTCAAACAACTAGCATATGTCAAAAAATTTTACCAAAAAAATTACAGATTTTTCTATTTTAAAGAAACAAGGGGCTAGGGAGATGGTTCAGTAGAATAAGCGCTTTCCTGGCAGGTGCAAGGGCCTGAGTCCAATCCCCAGTTCCACCAAAAAATTTTTATAAATAAATAAATAAATAATGTTACCACAGAAATCTAGCAGTAGCTGGGAGTGTGACTCAGTGGCAGAGCCATTGCCTGCCAGTACAAGGCCCTGGGTTTGATCCCTGGAGCCACAAAATTTAAAAAGAAGATATAGCAATAAATTCCCTGAAGGCTGATCTTGTGAGGGAAAAAGGAGAAATATACAAATGCAAGGAGTGATTGAATTATAGTGATGTTAAATTAAAAACATATTGTAGGGGCCCGGGGAGATGGCTCAGTGGAATGTTTCCTTGGCAAGCGCAAGGGCCTGAGTTCAATCCCCGGTTCCACAAAAAAAAAAAAAAAAAACATATTGTAGGAGCCAGATGTGGTGGTGGGACACATCTGTAATCCCAGCACTCAGGGGTCTAAGCCAGGAGGATCACCTCGTGTTTGAGGCTAGCCTGGGCTACATAGTCAGTTTAGGAACCCTGTCTCAAAAAAAAGTTTGTTTGGTTTTTTTTTTTTTTTTTTTTGGGGGGGGGTTGCAGCAAAAGGCACATTGACATTAATCACCCTCAAAATAATCTTTCCAACATACTTGTCCGCTTAATCTATATTCATAATCTCTTTACTTTTGGGGACAGGATCTTACCAAGGTCTTAACCAGACTGGGCTTAAACTTGTGATCCTTCTATCGCAGGCTCCCAAAGTACTGTACTTGGATTACAGGCATGTGCCACCTGTGCCAGGCCCCAGAATATGCAGCTTTATGTTTCACATCTCAGCCGGGCATGGTGGCATGCACCTGTAATCCCAGCACAGGAGGCTGAGGCAGGAGGATCCCTGTGAGTGTGAGGCCAGCCTGGTCTACATAGTGAGTTCAAGGCCAGGCTGAACTGCATAGCTGTACCTTGCCTCAAAAAAACAGTCAGTTGAATTCTCATGTTTCTTCCATGTTCCAAGACAGTGCAGCAAGCAAAGCAGGTTACAAAGGAATAACAAGACCTCTGGGCAGAGGTATTTCTTACATGGAAAACATAAGCCCCTCCCCTTTTAAAAATTAAATCCCAGCCTTCTTCATCTGTCTGTTGTGTCTTCTTTCCCCTGGACTAAAAGAAGGTTTCAATATGAAAAAGCTAATTTCATATACATTTGCTGCTCAAAGCTGATTGGTTTTCACCAGTGAAAGAGATAATAAAACCAGGAAGCCCAGCATCCCAGGTGTGATGGGGCTGACAATCTTGGAGACGCCTTCCATGCACTGTCCTTAGAAAGCAAGAATGTTTAAGACAGTGGAGACGAGACTGAGCACGTTCAGGGTGCTATGGCCGTGGATAGGACAGCAGAAAAGCCTGGCCTGTACTTTCTGATCTGGTGCCTTTCTCACTTGGTGACTCAAGAGCTGACAGTGGAAGGCCTGCTTCTCCCAGGCTAACACTAGCAGGTAGCTCTGACACCAAGACTAGCAATATCTCTGTAGATTTCAGATCTGTGGTCATTTTTTGTTATCCTGTACACTGTAACCAGACTGCAAAGATGATGGAGGTGTCTTTACTCCTTTTTTGGTCCCCTCAAAGCCACCTTTTTATAATTAAACTCTCGGGCTGGTGAGATGGCTCAGTGGTCTAAAGCACGTTAGAACAAGCTTAGCAAAGCACAGGGACCACAGTTCAATCCCCCAGCACCACATGCCAGCCAGCCCCACCCCCTCCCCTGGTGGGCTGAGCTGGCCACACACACACACACACACACACACACACACACACACATTAAAAAAAAAATTAAACTCATCGCTTCTCAGCCTTTTGGCTAAGATCATGTGTATAATTAAACTCTCCCTCTAAATACCAGTGGGGGGGGCAAAAAAGGGGGGCCGGGGAGATGGCTCAGTGGAATAAGTGCTTCCCTGGCAAGCGCAAGGGCCTGAGTTCAATCCCCGGTTCCACCAAAAAATAAAAATAAATAAATAACAGTGGAAATAATCTCAAAGGTATTTTCAGATAGACCTGTTTTCTGTAAAGGAGCCAATGATATTTCTGCAAGGACCAAAACAAAAGATCTTTAAAACTTTTTCTTTTTTTAAACAAAGTCTTGTTATGATATTCAGGCTGGCCTTGAGCTCATTTTGTAGGCCAGCCTGGTCTCAAACTTGCAACAATCCTCCTACCTCAGCCTCCAGAATGCTAGGATTATAGGCATGTGCCACCATGCCCAACTAAAAGTTTTTATTGAGGGGTGGGTATGCACCAAGAATCAAACTCAGGACCTCATGCATGTCAGGCAGGTGCTGCACCACTGAGCCAAATCCTGGGCCCTACAATTTGATCATTTTTGCAATCACCTATGCAATATTTTGTTCAAAGAAAGATCATCAATGGTTGATCAGTTAACATAATCAATTGAACAGTTAGTAGGGAACTGAACATTTAATAGATTCAAAGCACCTAACAGAGCCGGGCATAGGGCATGTGCCTGTAATCCCAGCACAGAGGTAACTTGCAAGTTCAAGCCCAAACTGGGCATCTTCGCTAGACAGTTTCTCAAAATTTACAAAGGAAAAAAAAGAAAACTTTTAAAAGGGGTGGAGAAGAATATATGCAGTGTATTATTTGTTGAAACTGTACTTCCAATTTGATTTGAAACTGTCTCATTGCT